AAATTTTAACTTAGCCTCACCAGTGTGTTATTGATAGTTCATGTTATAACACTTTTATCCATTATAGTTTTAAATTCTTTTCATAATATTTTTCTGCAAAATTTAAAATACGATTCACCTGAATACGGATACAAGAAATAAATCAAGCAATGTGTAAATTTATACTCAATTCCAACCCATAATCACACCAGTCACATTAAACTTTGATAAAAATTAGAAAAATAGAGATAAAGGGAATGAAATGTTCAGAGCCCTCTGACAGAGCTAACAGAAAGAACTTTAATGTCAGCTATGACATTTGAAAGTATTGTTTAGAAGAGTTACTCTAGATGCCATTACCAAAAAAAAGTATCCTTTTGCAATATCTGGTGACATTAGTAAAGGACTGAATAGTCTTGAACTTCAAAAGCATTATTTTTAGATAATTTTGTCCAAACCATGGGAATAGATATTAATAGTATCTGTAGACTAAATAATCTTTTTCTTTATGGAAGTTAAAGTTGTTGACAATGTTCTCAATAATTTACACTCTTCAAATGTGGTGTAGAGGGCTTCAGAGAGATGTCTTTACACATTGGCTTATCTGGAACCAACAAGGGCTGAGAAAGCAACCCCTGCCATGTTTGGACATAAAATGTGGACACAGAACTGAACTCATCAAGGCCTTAATACAGAGTGACACTATTATTGTTTCAACTCTTGCACTTAAATGAAGAGTTCACAAAAGAGACCACATTTGGACTGTTTATTTTCACAGTGTTTTGATCCATGAACTTATTTTTGACTGCCCTAAGACAAAATGCCTGTATTAGAGTGTGTGCTTCTTTCTCTCTTGCTTTCTCTCTCTCTGGAAATTATTTTTCTAGCTTCTTTGTTTTCACAAAAGTTGTATTTTACATGAAAGTGAAAAGCTGAAGAGTTCATTGTGACATGTTAGTACCATATTTATGATAAAAATAAAGCATGTTAGTATCATTTACAGTAAAAAATAAAACCTATCATACTCAAATTTAATTGAAGGATGGGTTAAATTTGTGACTAAAGAAGCAACCCTGAAATAAATGACAATCATGCACAAAATGTTTGAAAGACCCAATGCGTCTAAAAAATATATATTATGGTAGTAGCAATGGCCTGAATGTTTGTGTCCTGCAAAAACTTCTGTGTTGAACTCTAACCCCCAAGGTGATAGTATTAAGAGTTGAGGTTTTGGGGAGGTGATTAGGTCATGAGGATAGAGCCTCATGGATGGAATTAGTGTCCTTATAAAAGAGGCCCCAGAGAACTTCTTTGCCCCTTCCACCAGGCAAGGACACAGCAATAATATTGCAACTATGATAGGAAACTGCCCTTTCTTAGATACTGAATTTGCTAGCACCTTATTCTTGGACATGATAGCCTCCACTACTATGGGAAATAAATCTCTGGTTTTATTTTATTTTACTTTTTATCTTTTTAGAGATGAGATCTTGCTCTGTCGCCCAGGCTGGAGTACAGTGTATGATCATAGCTCAGTGCAGCCTCCAACTCCTGAGCTCAAAAAATCCTCTCACTTCAGCCTCTCAAGTAGCTGGGATCACAGGCCCAAGTCACCATACCTGGCAATTTCTGTTATTTATAACCTACCAGTTTATGATATTTTGTTATAGCATCCCTAATGGACTAAGACAATGGGTAACAAATAATGTTACCATTATCCCGTTTCCTGCTAATTATTAACTGTCAGTACCTGTCCTAACTGATGTTCAAATTTGGTATCCCAAATCGGCAGACTTAAAAATTGGAATTGCCTAGCTAAAAGTAGTTTTAGAGACAATGAGAATCATACTAACCCAAAGTTGGAAGTTGTAATTCTTGTTATCTGTTATTTGTTGTACTTGCAATATAAACCGTGATTGTGCTTTATGGGATTTTTTATGGAAAATTCAGGGTTTTAGAGTGGGTTGTTAGCTTTCTCCTTACTAATAGGATCAATAATATCATATAATAAAGATAGGGCTTGATTAAAATTGGCTCGTATGAAAGAAAAGTCACACTTTTTGCCTTTGGCCAACCTTCTAGGATGGCTGAGAATATAATAACTTGAAGCCTTGTAGGGATGAAAAAGCTAAATTATTTAACAAATAACTTGTCAGTATAAGCAGAGTCGAGGAAGCCAGAACCAAAATTGGCAATAAGATTGAGATTTGAGAGAAGCCAGATTCCCATAAGCCCCTTGCATGAATCTCTTATTGTATACTGCCAGGCAGATTCAAGAGACAATTACTTTTATTGTGTAAGTGCAGATAGCAGGGACAAAAGCAGATTAACTATGTCTCCCCATCCCAAACCATAGTCTCAAATTGTCCAAGGCAGATGCCTCAGTGGAGATCATTAAATTGAGGGCTAGAGAAGTGAGTATATAACTAAGAACTGTTGCTAGGAAACAGATACTCCAAGTTCCAGCATTAAAATCAGGAACCATGACCCAACACAATATCTGGATTTGTTTATCCGTTTCTGGGGTTAAGAGATAGTGAATGTTCTTCCACTTAGCAATTATAACACCTCTTCATACCTCCTCTCCTTACTCAAATGAAGACATGCACACAAACCAGCCGGAAATGAGATGATAAAGAGATTCAGCAAGCAAAATATGTTTCCTTTCAGTTTACCTTCTCAGATTTGGTCATGAATAACACTACACAAGGAGTTCCTTTTAGAGGCAGAACCAAAAGGCATGGGGGTGGAATGGAAATAACGGACAAAGCAGATCCTTCCAGAAAAATATCCAGAACTCATTCTATTATCAGAACAAAAAAGTTCATACGTTTTTTTTTTTTTTTTTTTTTAAGCAGGATGTGAACTATCAAACAATGAAAGTTTGTTTTCCAATTAATTCCTTTCTCCAACAATTTTTTAAAATACTATTTTACTATTCTTTATCCTTCATTTATCAAAGGTCTCCAGACCACATAGAGACCCATCCCATGTTTAGTTGAAAAGACCACACCTTACCTGAAGGAGAAGACAGATGCAGTGACAAGAGGAAACTTTGAGGAGAGGATGAGTGGAATTTACATTTTCAGGGACATTTTTTGAAAGATGTGTATGAGAGGGAGACTATATGTGAATGTTGATTTTCATCATAATTTTCTAAAATGAAAAATCATAGCTCTCTTGCAAAATTAAAGAGCATATTTCAAATTAATTATTCAATATATCAGTGAATAAGTTTAATAGTAAGATACTAAGATAGGTCCCAAAATGATTTCAGGTATTTATAGGCAGTTAAGTAAAGAAATGTTAGCATAAGATTGCTGAGTTGATATAAAACTGGCCCATGATCTATAAGGTCATAGCTATAACCTTTCTTTTACTACAGGACAGAGGTCATTTATATCTCTATTGGACAAAAATCCACAACATAAAGTCATAGGTTATTAAATTTTGGAGTTTTGATCAATAGCAAATAATGAATTAAACAAAGTTGGGATCCCTGAATGATGTTAAACATATCACTTTTTCTTTTTAACATTATTTCCAGGTTTCGTATAATTTTATTATCACTGAGTGAACCAAAGTTTTTGGGTTGATTTTAGCCAAATTGTATCATTCTATATTTATTTTAATAATTATATCTTGATTTTCCTTATGAGACCCCCATCCTTAGCCATCGTGAGACAAAGTAGCAAACGTCTGCCTCTGGCCAGCCACATAGTCAGCCCTGTTTGCTCCTTATGCTCATCAGCACAACTTCACAAACCTCTGGTTTAATCACTGAGCACAGCCCTCAGGAAGAATACCTTGAAGATGCTAAGCAGGATGGAATACATATTATATTTCCCACATCTTTTGCCTGAATCGCTGCATTTTTAGAAAAGATAAGTTTAATGATCCTAGCCTTTGCCTTTACCTGTACATACATAATGTCTGACAAGATTAGTAATTATGCCTCTGTAATTTATAAGTAGATGTACTGCTGCACCCACACTTTGATGAAAATTTTGCTTTAATGTAACTTCTGAGCTCATGGAGAATCTCCACAACCTGTATATAAACTGTGAACTGAAACACTGATTTGGAGCATGTGATAGAAACTCTCTGAAAGGCTCTCCTCAGGCCGTAATCCTCAGTAAGGCTCTGAGTAAAACTAACTTTAATTCTTTAGAAGCTTGATTTCATTCTTTAGTTGACACCATCCATGTGGCTGCAATGACTGGAACAACCACAAGGACCAGGATGGGCATAAATATAAGGAAAAAAAAGAGTATCACTTTTCTTGGGCCAACTGATGTATTCAGGAGATGTAAACCAAATAGCTTCAATTGTCTATACAGACAAGGTGTAGTTCTGATTCTTGCTGTTATTGTTAATTCTGGATTTGGAGATTTGAGAATTTCTGCAAGCATATTGCTACAAAGAGAAATGAGCCTAAAAATAGAGCCAAACTAGGAAAGTGTATCTGAGCATTAAAGGACTAAAACTTGTTTGTGGTAACACTATTGGAGCCTTGTGGCAACTCATGCCTAGAAATACCTAGGCATAACTACAGACATAATTTGTAGTTATGTTAGGTGAATATTAATAAAATATTTCCTTAGTTTTTAATCAAGGTAGACTGGCTTTTTTAAAACTGATATTTAAAAATTCCTTAGAATGAATATAAAAAAGTTATACCTTCTTATCTTTGTGTTTTAGAAAATGTCTTTATTGTCTTCTGTTGGGTCCCCAAGTTTCACCAACATTTGTTATTTTTATTGAAGGAGAAACAAAGAGTGCTTTGACAGATCTATCTATGACCTGGCCACCAGTATACTTCTTTCCCCTGCAGTCTTGAACTCAAGCCAGGGCCTTGAACATTCCCAGGCACTGATGAAGTTGTTTAGGTTGTTGCCTGAAGCACTAGAAGATCAGTGTTTCTGTTGCTAAACACATAGATACTATCACCATCCCTGAGCCAAATGCCTTAAATTTCTCATATAAACTCCATAGCCCAACCTCCTCCTTACCAGACATACCTAGATAGACCATCCTTTTTCTTACGTCTGGAGTGAGGACTTGGACTGAATACCTTGACATTTAGTGCTTCTTTCTTTGGAATCCCAACCTGCCTCATTTTAGGAGGGTTTAGGGCAGTCCCTTGCACGAATTCACTTGCCGCTTCTTTTGGGGCAACTCCAGCAATGAGTACTGCTGAACAGAATATCTTCTGACAATTGAGAGTTGAGTTTGACAGTTGACAGTTGACAGTTTCCTCTGAGGAAAATAAAGTTCTCTCTGAATTTTAAGGACATTTATACTTGATCTGGAAATCCAGAGAGTTCTCTGATCCTAATTTAATTGTTATTCCAGTGTAAATTACCTACATTAAAAAAAATCTATAAACCCTTGGATTATTTTCTTTTTCTCCTTGAAGTTTTATTAAAAAAAATAAAATTCTCAGTAATGAATTGTTATAATCATCCTGCCTGGCACTGTGTAGGCCATTTGAAATTAAAGACCACTGTTTTTAGTTCAGAGAAATTATGGATTATTAAAAAAAAACTTCCTCCATTTTTTTTCTCATTTTCTGAGTCACATAATTTCCAATTTGATTCTTTCTTGGGTAAATTTGTGTATGTGGTTATTTAATCATTGTCTTTCAATAAATTTTGCAATTCAAAAGAAAAATTACTTGTCTGATTATAGACCATTGTAATACCACTATGAAATATTACAAATATATGTGGGAAAAATGAGTTAATAAATTATGCATGGAAAAGAAAGTTCCTTCTTATTTTTTCTTTCTCTTGTCCAGTTTTTGTTCTCTTCTTCTTAAAATAAGTCTTATTAAAGACTTTTCCAGGATCATGGTTAGTGATTAATTTCCTGAACCCTCAGCTCTACAGTTCCCATTAATGAAATATTTGTATTTTTCCTTGTTAATGCAGAGATATTTGTTCAGTAGCTATTATAAGAGCATTGTCTGGATTTTCTTTGTATTCCAAAATGTGATCACAATGTTATTCTTATTATCCTTTTTAATTTCCCTTTTTTTACTCTAAGCATGGTTTTCTTGACCCCGTCTTTCCACAGCTGTTGCAAGAAATTCTTCACCGGGCTGTCCTATGGTGGCCTTATCATTATATCATCAAATTTCAACCCGAGAGCATCCTCTTGATCATCTGTTATAACACTTTTGGTAGCACATCCCTTCACTTGGAGATTGTGCAGCTGCCATTTCTACCCTTCCGAATTCTGGCTGCACTTTGTAATTATCATGTGCATGTATTGATTCCATATATTTTCTAACCAAGAAGTACTACCACTGTACAAATCTAAAAGCCTTTGGGAAGTTATATTAAATATATTGTTGCTTTAATTAAGAAAGTTAAATTTATTAAAATTGTATATCTTATTTAAGCTTCAACAATGAGACATCTGAAATTAAGGAGATTTAAGCAAACTTGTCAATTTCCTTCAGTTAATAAGTGACTGAGCCAGATTACTCATGCAAGCTCTTTTGGTATGGATACCTATTTTAAAATCAAAATTTGCCTGTGTCACTCACTTCTCTACTTAAGTTCTTCAATTACTCCCTATCACCTAAAAGATTAAGTCTAAATTTGTAAGCATGATGCATAAGTCCTTCCATGAATTGGCCTCTTTTTATAGATGCTGCTTCATTTCTTGCTATTTTACACCACACACTTCTTACAAAATGCCTCACACAATATATCATTTCACAGTTCTATTCTTTTATTCATACCGTTTCCTTTGACAGAGATGCCAGCTCCACATTTTTCTATAAACTTTATAGCTCTCTTTCTTCAAGTCTTGGCTCATAGCTGCACTTGGAGCTTTCTAAGAATACATGAGTGATTTAAGTGTTCCTCTTCTGTGCTTTACAGTATTCTGGATATTTGCCATGGTGTGTATACTGTATGGCATAGAAATCAATGGTATTTTATCTTTGCTCTCCTACCAGAAGATAAACTACTTGAGGCAGTGCCTTTGTTTTTATTATTTCAGTATTATCATCTCACTATACCTGCCATGTAATTGGTATAAAGCAAATAACATATTAAACTAATTCTTTAATAAAACTTGAGAGAAGGGAAAGATGACTAGATCTAAGGAAATAGGAGATTGGATTATGTTTAATATCAGTATAGTTAATTTACATATTAAGCAGATGTGGTAGGTTCTACTGTGGGGTTGTTCTATTTTCAAAATTTTAGAGAATACCAACAATTTTAAAGTTTTATAATGTTAAGGATACTAATAAAAAACTTTTTCTAAAAACTCTATTTTAGGTTAAGCTTAGTAAATATATGGAATAATGCACTTGTTACCATAGTCATATAATGGAGGCACAACGAATATCCCAATTTTTAAGTGAGGAAGTTAAAGAGCTAAAATATTAAGAAAATTGCCAAATGTTGAACATTTAGCAAATGATAAATACGGAGATCAAAGTATTACAGTCTGATCCCAGATTCTGTGAACATATCCACAACACTAGAGCTCCAGTGTCTCAATTTACATAGAGGATTAACCTTGACAGAGGCTCACAGCACCATAAAAATGACTTGAACAAGTCAGATAAGAAGAGTACATCCAGACATCAAAGCAAAACAAAAATGAACATTTCTGGAAGTTCTGAATTCTATGTTTATTAATAAAATTATTACAACTGAGAGCTGCATGTTTTTATAGATTATTAAGAGTACTGTTTTAAATATGTAACCATGAGAGGGCATTTTACTAGTCCAATGAAGTTCCTGTGGGAGAATGGACTTTATTTTGGAAGTAGGAGGTAAAAGTACTGGAGGTGAGTGTGAACTTTATTCACTACTTACATGCTTAACAAACAGACCTTCTTAGAACTGAAGAATTTCCATTTCGTAAATTTTAGAAGATGACAAAATCTCCTATTCTTAAGGCTGAAAATAACCTGCTCCTCTTCAAGCTAAAGCATGGGCTGATGGCTTTTGTTTGAGCAATCTGATATAGGAAGCTAGATTTTTACATTTGGTGATAATGGCAGGCAGAATCAGAGAGAGTTTTTTCTAGTGGTAGTAACCTTGCATTTAGGGGAGGTAATGGATCGGACACCGGTCATGAAGTCATTACTGGAATGTTGGCAGTGGAGCCTGAAGCACCCAGCTGTCAGCAGCAGCAGCTCACTGGTTTCTTTCTGTTATGTGACTGAAATTTTGATCCAGCCTTCATAATCTGTTTTTTCATTCCCATATTCTGAATGAAATGCCCACTCTACTTGGATATTTTGTGAAATAATATTATTTTAATCAATTCATTTTCTTCAAAAATAGCCTGAATGTAATACCAGTACTAGTCAGTAAGAACCTTAACTGACATAGACACTGAAATTAACAGATTCTTTGGGAAATGGGGCATCAAGAATTGATCTTCTAGTTTGCACAAGGTTAAAAGAAGCAAAAAAAAAAAAATCTAGCTAATATTACAGGCTAAGACTGCAGTAGCCCACGGCATGCACTGACAAAATATAAAATTATAATTTAACTGTGACTAGGCAAGAAGTAAAGCTTTTAGAGAATCGAGTTGTTACTGACATAAAAGAGTATAAAGGGAATAGGGAAAGGTGACATCTTCTAATGGCACCAATTGCCTTAAAGAAAGAATATAAACTCAAATCCCTAACTATACACCTCAGGGCATGGGCTGAATTTCAGGATTTTATAATTTTATTAAAATAATTCTGAGTCTATTGCAATTATTTGGCAGAGATAACCAGGATTAGAAAACAAAATTAAACAAAACAATTAGGAGTTGTTTTATTCCTGGGTCTAGTTAGGATAAAACAGTACACAAACAAAATGAAAAACACTTAAGCTATTTTTTTTAGAGAATCCTTATTATAAGGAATCAATAAATAGCTAGTGCAAAGTAAAAAGGATGTCCTGGATTGACATTGAACAAATAACTGCGGGAAAGAGCCACTGCCACTAGGTCTGACAGAACAAAGGAAGATGTGATTACTGAAAGCTAGAAGCTTGCAAGAGGAGCCTCTGCAAAAGGGAAACTCTAATCTCTGAGAAAGACCCGGTGCTTTGTTAGTACTGGTACCTCAAAAGGTCAGAAGATAGTCCCCCTGAAACTAAAACTGAGACATGTGTAAAGTTCAGCTGGGTCTATTACCTTTGAGGGGGCACAATGAAGCTGATTTTGGGAGGGTAGAAAACCAGAAATTGGAACAAAATGCAGTTGCATGGTGAAAAACCATCAAGATGATACATAGCAGAAAGGAAAGAACAAGTCGCTTCAACTACCACTTTGTCTTGCATAGCTTCTCACTAGTCCCTCCTATTTTTTTCTTTTTTTAATTTCAGGATATTGTGAGGGTACAAAGCAACCAAAATGCTTGTAGCCCATCCTGTTGATGAAACTTACTATGGAAACAGTTGGAAAAAAAGTGCAGTTTGAGTTTGAGTTTCAAGTAGCACAAAACAGACTATAAAAAGGCAGGGGGAAAAAAGAAAAAATGAAAGAGCCAATATGTATGTGAAAAATGCCCCATCTCTAGTAATCAAGGAATTACAAATCAAACCCAAACAAAGGCTGCCTGTTATTCACCAATTCAGCTATGATTTCAAACCATGATAAAATTCCAGGTAGACAGTGTTTCTATAGTGTTTAATGTAGGAAATCGCTATTTTACTCCCAACTCTTTATTTAGCTGTCATCACTGTGGAATGATAAAAAGTTGGGGTGCAATAGTGGTTCTTCATATTAATCAATTATATGTGTACTTTCAGGGCATTTTTAATACTATTTTTTATGTTTATTGAAAACTGATTTTCTCTGTCCAAAGGCTGTGTATTATTGTGAGCGAATAAACAGAGAGATTCTAAAAAGAAAAAGTAATGTCTGTTCACAAAAAAAATTGTGCTTGTAAAAAAATTCAGTGTAGATGAGAGTAAAGTGAAACCGAAAAAAAGAAAAAAACTTAAAGAAAAAACAGTAGATATGGAAATGTGAGATAATAACATAATATCAAGCACATATAATGATTTACACTATTGTGGAATTTTCCAGATCTTGATTGTGAAAAAAAATTAATCAGTAAAGACTCAGGACCTAAGAACTAGTATGTATAAAATGTGTGGCCTTAGGGAACACCTTCCACTGACAAGCCCCCTTTGCTCTTGACCCTTTTAGATTTGAAGGTGGAGTAAATCTTAAGTATGTTTC